GTTGGGGGGGGGGGGTTGTAGAAGAGATAGTGCTAAGAGACAAGGTGGGAAATCCAAAGTCAATAGCAGAGTGAAGATTAAGGGGCGCAGGTGGCCGAGGGCAGTGCTTGGAAACAAGCATCCCCACAAAGCTCTTATGCACACAGCCCTGGACAGGCCAGACAGATGTCACCCAGAGAACAAAGAGTAACAGGAAAAACAGAACACACCGTCCTTAATTCTGAGGTTTCCTGGGTTTCTTGTCCTGGGGAGGGGGAGGGGAATAGGGCAGGAACCCCCAAAGTCATGTTCCCTCTGCTTTTACTCCCTCCTCTGACTTGACATCTTTTTCTTGATGTCATGAACCTCACCCTAGGCATGGTGATTCAGACCCTGCAGTGTGGAGCTGGGAGAGCCCTTAGAGACCGCTGGACCTGTGCTGGCCCCCGGGGAGCCACTAGCCACATGGGGCTTTAGAGCATTTGCAGTGTGGCTAGTTAGTCTACACAGGCAAGTGCTGTAAGTATAAAATACACACTGGACTTTTGAGTGCATGGTTTGAAATGAAAAAAATGTAAAATAGCTCATTAATATTTTTAAAAGATTGATTACATGCTGAAATGATCATGTTGAGGATCTATTGGGTTAAATACAATATTATTAAAATTAATTCCCGGGTTTTTTTTTTTTGTGTTTTTTTTTTACTTCTTTTAAGGTGCCTTGTCCATATCTATTGGACAAGGTTGGTCTAGTTCAACTTCCTCCTTTATTATTTTTGTTTGTTTGTTTTTAATTCTCACCTGAGGATTTTTTTTTCCATTGATCTTTTAGAGAGAATGGAGGGGATGGGAGGAGAGAGAGAGAAACATTATTGTGACAGAGACACACTGATTGGTTGCCTCCCATCTGCACCCAAACCAGGGCTAGGATACACATACACACACAGAGGTTTAGGGGCACCAGGAAAGGAGCAGGTGGGCTTACAGACCTGTAGGCTGCAGGCCTGAAGACAATTGTTCCAAGACCGAAGACAATAGCTGTGGTTTCTTGGGAGTAAAATATAAATCTAACAAAGGTGCGGGTATTCTCTCCAAGAAGTCACATTTTAAAAGAAGTGACAAGAAAGCTGGGGAGCCCTGGACATTCCCCCATTAATTCATATTCACAGTAACACATTAGGTTAGTTTACCAGGTGTGCTAATGGGCACCTCAATGGCACAGAGGCCCCCTCCCCCAAGGCAGTGGGGTAGAGCCACGCCTGAGCCCTAACACTCTACGGTCAGCCACTTAAGGATTGTTTGACAAGTAAACAAAGACAAGTTTCAGTAGGATTGGCTTGATAATGGAAGAGGGGTGGGCAGCCAGAGGGAGGGGGAACCAGATACCAAAGGCAAATTCCTTATTTCATAATTTTATCTGGCATCCCCATTCTAAACGTGCATTGTGAGGCTTTAAGAGAGGCGGTTAGGAAAGTAGAGAGATAATGATCTCTCCGCCCCCGGGGCAGCCCTAATGGGTCTCATCTGAGGACAGTAGTAGCAAGTTGGAGCCTCGGGCTCTCTCTGGACCCCGGGAGTAAATTTTCCTTGGCCTCTCCCTCGCTTGGGCCGGTGAGCCCCGAGCGGGGAAGGCGGGGGGACCTTCTTTCCTGTCCCTGGTTTCTCATCCTGCCCCGCTGGGGCGAGAGTCGTGGAGAGAAGGGAAGGGCCACGCGGGGGTCAGCTCTCCGTTCTATTTACGCGAATAAACACGGTAAATAAGCCTGTATCTCCCCCGGCCCCCCGGCCCACGGGCTGTGGGACCCAGACCTTAAAACAGGCGCAGCGACCTGGCTGGCCCTTGCCCTTGGGGGACAGGAGTGCCAGGCGGGGAGCGCGGGTGCAGCTTCCCCTTGGAGGCGCCAGTTTTCGGGGCTGATAAGGAGGCGTCCGCTGGCCCCCTTCTTTTACGCGGTGCCAGGAGGCCACCAGTGCGCTGGCCTCAGAGCCGTCTGCGAAGCTGGGCGGGCCAGGTGCCCTCCTCCCCATTTCAAGGGTGACTGTGCCGCTGACGTCAGGCCGCTTTTGGTTCATTCCCTGGCTCCCGGACTTTATTTTCATAACAGCGAGCAGCGTCGTGGAACTGGAATGGGCGTGTCCTCTCCCCCGGACCCTCTCCCGCCCCTTGTCCCTCCGTTCACCTCCTCGCTCGCTCCCTCCCTCCGGCGACAGCCGCCTTTATAACTGCTTGGCGCCTTTGGGGCGGGATCGCTTTCGCGGGCTCCGCAGCACCCAGGGGCTCAGCTCCGTCTCCAACGCGCGCCAAAGCCGAGGCACCGGGTGAGTGAGGCGCACGGAGCGCGCGGCGCGCCCCGCCTCCGGATGTAAATCCTGGGGGTGAGCGGGGTCGGGACGGGTGGAATTCGAGAGGAAGCCTGGCAGTGTGGGCTGCAGCTGGCTCTGCAAAGAAGAACCCCAGGAAAGAAATTCCCCTAGTTTAACACAACTGAGCTGCTTTTTTCTCCTGCGCTTCGCAGGCTAAGCCAGAGGCGCAGAGCAAAGTGAACATCAGGTAGCAGTTTCAGGCACATTGCACACCCTTGGTAGGTGGAATCCTGGCCAGGCAGGCGAGCAGTTCTGGGATGGAGAGGTAGAGAGAAGGGGGAGAAGGATCTCAGAGGAAGGGAAGGGACTGGGGCAGAGAGTGGTGGAAACTGGGACGGGGGCAGGGAGAGAAAGATGGTGACAATGGTTACTTCACCCAGTTACTGACAAGTTTCCAATGATTCCGTCCTTTCCCAAAAAGCCTTCTGATTTTGTGAGTGTGGGGTCGTCAGCTCCACAGCATTCCCGCCGCTGCTGCCCCCTGAGTGGCTCCGGAACTCCAGCATGTTCCCTAACAACTCAATAGGATNGCCTTCTGATTTTGTGAGTGTGGGGTCGTCAGCTCCACAGCATTCCCGCCGCTGCTGCCCCCTGAGTGGCTCCGGAACTCCAGCATGTTCAGTAACAACTCAATAGGACTTGGGAACGGCCCCAAAGACGCCCAAGAGGGCCCCTCCAATGTCGGAGGCCGGGAAGGAAAGGCCGGCACACAGGGGAAGTCTGCTCAGGTTGCAGGAATTTGAAGACTTTTTTCATTCCTAACTTCTTTCCCGGCCGATTCTCCTCAGGGTTTGTAAATGTCACACCTCAGGTGTTCAGCTGAATCATCCGCTGCTGAGGGCTCATTCCTGAAGGGATGGATAGGTGAACCGCTTCAGATACAATGGCCTGGGGCCCATGGAGGGGTGAGGATCCAGGCAGAGTGGGGCTCTCCAGTGCTGTGTGCTGGGTGCTACTTGGAGAGGGAAGGAATGAGGGGAGGAAGGGTCAGGAGTTTTACTTGGGAGATTAAAAGGCTCCTCCAGGGCCTAGAGAGGTGTGAGTTCCAAGGGCAAATGCAAATGAGCAGAACATTCCTGGGAAGTGCTCTCCACTTGAGTTAGGAAGCCTGGTTTCTCCTCCTGACTCTACAGGACCTTGTGGCTGTGAGGGGGCAAGGGCCTAGGCCTTGAGTTCCTCCTAAGGGGTCTTGCGAAGGCCCCCAGCTCCTTCGCAGGCTGAGATTCTAGCCCCTCTGTATCTGCACATGTCCCCTGGCAGTCCTCTGTGGAGTCTGCGCCTTGCCTTCGTATTTCACTCGTGGGAATAGAAGATAACAGCATGTGAAGAAGAATTTTGACTGTGTGACTTTATTTTTTCTCATTCTGGGTGTTGGTCTTCAGGTCCACTGCTGTTTAAAAATCCACACATTGGGTTGAGGAAATGATGTGTTGGTATAATAGGACCTTTAACAACAGTGAATTGAATAGTGTTTTCGCTTGAAGGGTCTCAGATTTTCTGAGTGGTTTGGTGTGTTTCTACTTTTATTCCTATTTTTATTGCTTTGTGGTCAGGATCGATAGTCTGTACATTTCTTATTTTAGGATTTCAGGTTTTATTTGTGGTCTAAAATATGCTGTTTTTGTAAATGTTCCAAGACCTTTTCCGTAGAAGCAATCATACAGAGCAGGGGTCGGTAAACTAGGTCCATGGCCAAACACATCTCTCAGCCTGTTTTTGTAAATAAAGTTTTATCAGAACACAGCCTAGGTCATTTGTCTATACATTATCTATGGCTGCTTCAGCTGTAACATATGGACTGCAGAGCCTAAACCACTTATTATCTGGCCCTTTATAGAAAATGTTTGCTGATCTCAGATATAGAGGATCTGAATTATATGATCAATAATGGAGATCTAATAAGATATAAAGATAGAGAGAATATTTTGATTAAAGTATCCACAGGACGTATATAAAATTTACCATATTATTATTCATTTTTTCTTTTTAATCTGCTGAAGACTGGTAAAGAAGTATTAAAGTCTCCTACAACTGTAGTATTTCTTTTGATTTCTCCTTGTACTTCTGGTAGTTTTGTTTTCTGTGTTTTGGTGCTATGTTATTCAGTGCATAAAAGTTTATGGTGGTTGTATCTTTAATGTGAAGTATCCTGATTATTATAGTGTAGTACCTTTTTGCCTTGACTACACTTTGTGTGATATCAATACCTCAACTCTTTCTTAATTGTCTTACCTTGAGCAAGCTATTTAACTGTGTACCTGACACATAATACCAGCTAAATAAACATTATCTATTATCATTGCTTTTTTTTGGCATTTATTTTCATTTTTGCCTTCCTTTTGCTTTCGACTTTTTTGAACCCAGTTGTTTTAGGTGAGGTCCTTATAGTATAATATAGTTTAATTTAGTCTTTTTTCAAAATAGAAGAGTTACCATTTGCACTTGTTGTAATAATAGTTGCTTGCTGTTGTCATCTAATTTTTGGCCATGTATTCTGCTTTCCCCACTCTCTCCCACATTAGATAGTCTATATTGTATTTTTAGCTCTACTAGGCCACTCAGGCGATGGTAATGCCATTCGTAGGGCTTAGAAATACAGGCTTTTGTGGAAAGATGACAAATTTAGCTTGGGGCTTGCTGGATCAAACATGAATATGCTACCATTATATATTGAAATGAGATATGTTAAAAAAGGTGTCTTTGAGAGCTTTGAGATGGCATACCAGTAGAAGACTTCACTTTATTCAACCACCTATTTTCTGGAAATTTCATTTCTTAAGATTCTGGGCCTAAGAGATTTGAAAGTTTCACTCAAATTTTTAAAAAATGATTTTCAGTATTTTAATTTTATATTCCATAATTTATTTTACATTAATCTAAAGTTCACATGCTTTGTCTAGAATAGAGGAAGATTATAATACCCCCATGGAACTACTCGAAAGTGAAGACGTTGGCATGAACACTGTTGCTGTGCTTGTTTAGCTGTGCCTATGGTAGTGTGATGCTTTATTTTCACTCAGTTACTGCACTGAAGCTCAATTCACTGGTGTTATTCAGATGTTATTCACAAGCTGTTGCCATGATGTATCACTTTTATGTCATCATAGTACGAATAGCTACTCAGAACAGGGGATCTGGAGGTTTCCCTGGAAGTACTCTCCAATTATTACTAATCCTTTATCCAGGGCAGAAAATTTCTGTGGGACTCCACCCTTGTCTTAGAATTCAGCCTAGATAAAAATATGAGGATCAGCACATATTCATCTTCAAAAATTCTTCCTCCCCATTACTCACACTTGCTAATAAATAACTTGCTTTGAGTAAATAATCAGCGGTCAGTCTTATTCCAAACATTTGCTCAGCAACCACTGTGCAGAGCACATAGTGAGGGGCACCAACAAACAGAAGATTTGCTCAGTTTCCTTAATCCTTAGAAGCTTGTTATCTGATAGGCGAGTCAACACTGATATTCAAGCATAATATATAACATATATATGGAAAACCGTGAGTGCCAAGAAGTACTTAATTACAAAAACTATGAAGAGACTTACAACTTTAAAATGAGATGGAACAAATAAATTTTTAAAAACCTCAAGATTTGGGCCAAGTTTGAACAATACGGTAAATGTGTTGTAAATAGGAGGGGTAGGGTCTTTCTGGCTAAAAGAATAATGTGTGTGCTGAGGCAAAGAGGGTGACTGTCTGAGACGGTCTTAGATGAGCCCCAGTTTCCTACCAGATAGGAAAGATACTCTTGGAAGATTTGCTTGCCCTAGCCGGCTTGGCTCAGTGGTTAGAGCGCCAGTCCACCCACCGAAGGGTCACAGGTTGGGATTCCAGTCAAGGGCACTTACCTCGGTTGCAGGCTCCATCCTACAGCCTGGGTTGGAAGCAACCAATCGATGTGTTNTCAGTTACTGCACTGAAGCTCAATTCACTGGTGTTATTCAGATGTTATTCACAAGCTGTTGCCATGATGTATCACTTTTATGTCATCATAGTACGAATAGCTACTCGGAACAGGGGATCTGGAGGTTTCCCTGGAAGTACTCTCCAATTATTACTAATCCTTTATCCAGGGCAGAAAATTTCTGTGGGACTCCACCCTTGTCTTAGAATTCAGCCTAGATAAAAATATGAGGATCAGCACATATTCATCTTCAAAAATTCTTCCTCCCCATTACTCACACTTGCTAATAAATAACTTGCTTTGAGTAAATAATCAGCGGTCAGTCTTATTCCAAACATTTGCTCAGCAACCACTGTGCAGAGCACATAGTGAGGGGCACCAACAAACAGAAGATTTGCTCAGTTTCCTTAATCCTTAGAAGCTTGTTATCTGATAGGCGAGTCAACACTGATATTCAAGCATAATATATAACATATATATGGAAAACCGTGAGTGCCAAGAAGTACTTAATTACAAAAACTATGAAGAGACTTACAACTTTAAAATGAGATGGAACAAATAAATTTTTAAAAACCTCAAGATTTGGGCCAAGTTTGAACAATACGGTAAATGTGTTGTAAATAGGAGGGGTAGGGTCTTTCTGGCTAAAAGAATAATGTGTGTGCTGAGGCAAAGAGGGTGACTGTCTGAGACGGTCTTAGATGAGCCCCAGTTTCCTACCAGATAGAAAAGATACTCTTGGAAGATTTGCTTGCCCTAGCCGGCTTGGCTCAGTGGTTAGAGCGCCAGTCCACCCACCGAAGGGTCACAGGTTGGGATTCCAGTCAAGGGCACTTACCTCGGTTGCAGGCTCCATCCTACAGCCTGGGTTGGAAGCAACCAATCGATGTGTTTCTCTCACATTGATGTTTCTCTCTCTCCCCCCCTTCCACTCTCTCTAAAAAAATCAAAGGAAAAAATACCTTCAAGTGAGGATTAATAAATAAATGTTAAAAAAAAAAAAAAGATTTGCTTGCTTTCTTCCCAGGCCTTCTTTTCTTTGCTC